TATTATTATTATTATTATATAATTATTTTTTTAGTTGTTTCCATATAATAATATAAGCAATTCTATTCAAAGCTACCGGAGTTACACACAAGATATTTGTCAAGTAAAATGTTATTTCATTTTAGTATCAGTAATTTTCTAGATTTGTACCACTGAAATGAAGTTAATTAATAATAAGGTTCATGTAGGTACATTTAGTTAGTTTAATGTTTTAATTAAGAAAATCTTACATCGTTTGATATTTTAATTTTTGTCTTGATGGAAGAAAATAACATTAACACAGAGAGAAAGAGTCAGTTTCGTAACGATTGAGCCGCGAGAAATTCTTTACTGTCGAATATATGAGTAAAAAAAAAAGTTCAAGCTTAATTTACAGTTGGACCACGTATGTTATTTGTTTTTTTTTTCGTTCTATGAAGGAATTTCTTTGTTTATCTCAAGATAAAAATCAAGATTATTGAGAAAAACCCGCATTAGCCTTTCCATCGTAATATCTCATTTATATACCTGTTTCCTGGCTTGATCGGCTAGATTTTTGGAACTCCCCAGCGTGTCCCCGAAAATGAATTTTCCGAATGGAAGCCTGTCCGTAACACGTGCGTAACTTAGGTTAGGTCAGGTGGGGAGATATTATAAAAGTTAGCTTACTATAATGTTGAAAAGCTTGTGTGCTCAACGGTACGTTACTGTCTGGTTGTACCATTATCAAGGATAGACTCGGATTTCAGTTACTTTCATTGTGTATAGCCGACATATCGACAGGTTGAGAAACTGCGGATCGCGCGTACTTGTGATTTGTGTCTGTGATAAAGTTCGTTAGTTAGGGGTGAGTGATTTTAATAATTTTAAGTGGATTGAAAATGATGATAAAAGAGAGCGTTTTAGATATAAGTAAAAATATGTTTGATAAAATTTAATTAACATATTTAAAGGTGAAAAAAGTCTGAAAAAGTTTTGCAAAAGATTTTATTTGATTTAAATATTTGAACTGGAAAAAAATTGTAATGCCTCAATTGTAATTTTGAACAAATGGCAAAAAAGTGCCGATTCGAATTTAATGCAGTTTTCAAAAATGTGTGATATTTATATTTCTTTAACCGAAAATGTGTAGTCAAATTCGAAACATGACAATCATTAAGAAATTAAAAACTGATTTTGAAAATTATTTATTTTATGCGTTTTACACTACCAGTTACGAATTCCAAACTAGCAAAATCATATTTAATTTTGAGGTAGTTCCCATACAGCTTAATTAATTATTTAAAATTATTCCTTTATGAAAAAGAAGTCAGGAATATGTTTTTCCTATTTTATTATTATATAAAATGGATAAACAATATTAAAATGCAACATAACTAAATAGATGGTCACAGATTCCATAGAATTTCTTTTTCTTGTTCTAAAAGATTTCCTTTCCCTGATTTTGGTGTTACTTTTCAACTAAAATAAGTTGCTCCTTTTTCCTATGAAGAAATCTATCAAAAACACTGCGTTCCGATGTGTTGCGACTGGAATCTTAACATCCAAAATGAAATCATATTGCACAATATTCTGCGATTCAGAGAAACTAGTGCGTTTACAAACTTTATAGCCCCTATATAACTTCTCAATGCGTTTCAACCTGCATTAATAGGTGCGGCATATTTACGTTCAAAAGTGAAGTACTACTTTGCTTCTATCAAAATATTTTCAAGTGTTTGTATATTTGCATTTATATTATATAACATAGTCATCTGACCTCTAACATCTTTAATGTTTACTATGACACTACTTGAAAGTAAATATACTACTCACAGAAGGAAGTACGCGTCCCAATCGTTATTCATATGTCAGTATGAATTATGAAAAATATATCACTATGTTGCAGGACGCATAAGAACTGCTAAAGAAAGGACCAGGCTAAGTAAGGATAACAAGATTTTGTTGTGCGAAACTCATGTTAAAACCATCATCTCACCGCTTACCTCGATACAGACTGTTAAGTTGACCAGAAAACAAGAATTTTAAAAATTATATAAAATAAATAATTTGTATATTCGATTAGATCAAACCACATCATAAATAAATAACACCTGTGTCTAGGAGACGGTGGTATTTTTGACAATAATTTTTATACAATAAAATATTGGTATTCATGTTTGGACTTACCTGCTTTTTAATTTTTTTTTAACACGTGCAAAACCAAATTAATAAATTTAAATTTGTATAAAAAGGCAATACGAAATTTAAAGTTGATTGGAATAAAGAATCTTTTAAACTATCTTTCTGCGAATATTTTAAATATGACAGTATTCAACAAAGTTTAATGGCGTGTTGAAAATTTTGAGGACATACCTACCACACTAACAAATAATGCGCAGAATTGGATACAATCAGACGTACCTTATTGATAAATTATACAAAATTTTATTTGGAAAACAACAAAATTATTGTTCTGAAATTGAATTGGAATTCAAATTACGTTTTACAATCAGAAACATTTCTACAGAGTGTGTTTAAAAATATATTGAATAATGATTATCATTGTTCTGCTCTGTTGAAATCTTAAAAAAAGAGGGAAATATCTTCAAAAATGAACACTTTTACTTTTGAATATATTGCGAAAAAAATAATGCAAAAATTGTTGCCTTCGTGTTTTCAAAAGTAACCAAAAATGCCACAAATAAATGACTACATACAATATTTGAAATGGCGTGTGAGAAAAAATAAATTGAACTACGTCCACCACATAATATGATATTTATAACATACGTTTGTGAGCAATAAAAAATTAGGGTAACATGCCAAATTTGCACAAAATCGCTTCAGGCGATTTTCTTTATCTTAAAAAAAATCGAACTTTAACAGTAATCTATAGGATTTTTTCTTTGACGTGTGACATAGAACCTGCCAGTAAAATACGGTCAAATAGTTTAATTAAACTATAGTTGGCGTCTCCGGAAATTTTTATATAAAAGTAGCAAAGCCGGTTGCACACTAAAAGCAGTACTCCTTGCTACCACAGCACTGCTCCCGGTGTGATGCCGAGGCCGGCTTAATAACTTGAGCAATTCTCATCGATAGAAAACTAATTTGCAAATAATATCTGTCACTGCAGGTTTTTAAAGTATGAGATTATAATATTATTAAACACAAAAATGTATATTGTTTGTAGTTAGACATTTTGTTTTATTTATATTTTGTAACCTTGAGCAGAAACGTGCAAGCGTATCGGAAAAGGAACGAAATTATGACTTATGTAATTAAAGAGATTGAAATATAAACAATTAATTAATAATAATGTTAATGTTAATAATGTTACATATCAATTAATCAATGAAACACATGATGTCCACAATACGCGGAATCGTTTTGTTGTGTGATTTTCATATTTATTCTAATTGTTAGAGGTACTACTTTTCAATTTTTAATGATTTAATTTTTATTTCAATAAATTCATATTTTTTATATCCACGCTTCTATATTTTGGTGAAGGCGCCTCATATTCTTCTATTTTATTTTACTAAAAAAAATTCAGTTGTAACCTCGGCAATAATATTTTAAATGTCAGAACAGCACGTGAATAATTTCCACCTTATACAGGGTGACCAAATGAAAACGAAACAGAGCCATTTTCAGGAACTGCGTCAAGATTGTAGAAAAACGCTCAGACCCGTCGATTTTAGATTAAAGGGGGACATTCTTTGCTGGTATTTTTGACTCCGCCACTTTCACCCCCAAGCAAGGGTAAGCATCACCCCAAAATATTTAAATGGCATTTGGGGTTAAGTAATATTTCTTTTCTTGAAAAAAATTTAAATTATGTTTACTTGCTTACTTACAACTTAGTTAATTAAATGTTCAAACTGATGACCGCCCGCTTCCATACAAGAATAAATATTTTGTTCGAAACATTCGCGCACATTCCGAAGCATTTCCGTAGTGATTCGATGGCATTCCTCGACGATTCTTTGACGCAAATCTTCCAGCGACGCTGGCTGTGTTTTATAGATTTTACTTTTTAGGTATCCCCACAAAAAGAAATCAAGGGGCGATAAATCCGATCATCGTGGAGGCCACTCAATGCTGCCTCTTTTCCCAAACCAATTCCATAGAAAAGGTTGGTCCAAATACTGACGGACAATTAACGCATAATGCGGAGGAGCACCGTCCTGTTGAAAAATCAAATGATCTTCATCATACTCTGGAACATTTTCAATAATATCAGTCAAGGCAGGGTCAATAGCGTCTTCCAGTAATTGCAAATACATTTGGCCAGTCAAATTACCAGGTAGAAAAAAAGGACCCACCAGCCGGTCACCGAAAATTCCAGCCGTACATTTAATTTTTCCGGTTGCTGTGTGTATGCACCTCGTGAAAAACTCTTGGGTTTGAATCAGACCAATAGCGGCAATTGTGACGATTTACCGTCCCGTTCAAGAAAAAACTGCATTCATCAGAAAAACAGATGTTAAAAAGGAACTGTGGATCGTTCCCTGCTCACTCACTCATTATTTCACAAAATTGCAAACGGCGGTCATAATCATCCGCATGAAGTTCTTGGACTAAATGTATTTTGTATGGATGGAATTTATTCTTCTTCTAAATGGTTTCTATGCTAGTTCGATTCATCCCAGACACAGATGCCAGTTGCCTCGTACTTAACGTAGGATCGAGATGAACTTGTCCCAAAACTGCTGTTTTTCAGTTTCTCGTTTTTTATTGACTACGTTCCCTGTCTCTTGAAATTTTTTTACTAACTCTAGAACTCCTGACATGTCGATCTTGATGTTCATTAAATAGCTGAGCTGTTCTATTCGCACATTTATTGTTCATAAAGTAAAGCGAAATGATATCTGCCCTTTCCGCAATGGAATAAACCTAGTATTTAATTTTCAAAAACACAATTAAATAAACTACCAACCAACGCTTCCAAATAATACTAGAAAATAATTTGAAATCCACTAATTTTACGTTCATTGTGTGTGTATAGCATTAATTTCTGTTTTTTACAATTGTGTTTTTTTTTACGAAAGTGATAACAAATGGCCAAAAACCATTGTAACGCTAGAAATACTAAATTTATACATACCATTGGTGTACTTAACTCGAATGACTGACATTTTTACAGTTACTAATTGCTTGTACATAAATTTCAACTTTGAAATAAAAATATTAATAATATAATAACATAATATATAATACAATAACAATAAAATAATATAAATTAAAAGTATAAGATTAAGTATAAGTTATTAATAAGTATTTGGCGGAATTATAAAATTTAAAGTCTGTTGTAAAGAGAATTGTAAGAGCTTTCAAAAGAAATATTACTCAACCCCAATGCCATTTAAATATTTTGGGGTGATGCTTACCCTTGCTTGGGGGTGAAAGTGGCGGAGTCAAAAATACCAGCAAAGAATGTCCCCCTTTAATCTAAAATCGACGGGTCTGAGCGTTTTTCTACAATCTTGACGCAGTTCCTGAAAATGGCTCTGTTTCGTTTTCATTTGGCCACCCTGTATGTGTTCCAAGTACAAATACTCGTAAATTCATATCTTAGTATTTTATTTTAAGGAAATCCCCTCCTTTTTTTAGGTTTACGTGTTATTTTTATAAATTGCACATAATTATTACCTAAAATTCGTCATTTGTAAGCTGTTATCTTAAAAATTATGGAAATAACGTTTTAAGTACTGTTCAATGAACACTGAAATTCCAAAGAGTTCCTAAATTATATAAAAGTGAAGTGAATTCTTTAAAAATGTTCGTCGCAAAGCTAATTGATATTTAAGTACACATACAAACATTACACGTTTAGACATTGTTGATAAAATAAATAAATTA